AGACTATAGACTAGACTATAGACTAGACTATAGACTAGACTATAGACTAGACTATAGACTAGACTATAGACTAGACTTTAGACTAGACTATAGACTAGACTATAGACTAGACTATAGACTAGACTATAGACTAGACTATAGACTAGACTATAGACTAGACTATAGACTAGACTATAGACTAGACTATAGACTAGACTATAGACTAGACTATAGACTAGACTATAGACTAGACTATAGACTAGACTATAGACTAGACTATAGACTAGACTATAGACTAGACTATAGACTAGACTATAGACTAGACTATAGACTAGACTATAGACTAGACTATAGACTAGACTATAGACTAGACTATAGACTAGACTATAGACTAGACTATAGACTAGACTATAGACTAGACTATAGACTAGACTATAGACTAGACTATAGACTAGACTATAGACTAGACTATAGACTAGACTATAGACTAGACTATAGACTAGACTATAGACTAGACTATAGACTAGACTATAGACTAGACTATAGACTAGACTATAGACTAGACTATAGACTAGACTATAGACTAGACTATAGACTAGACTATAGACTAGACTATAGACTAGACTATAGACTAGACTATAGACTAGACTATAGACTAGACTATAGACTAGACTATAGACTAGACTATAGACTAGACTATAGACTAGACTATAGACTAGACTATAGACTAGACTATAGACTAGACTATAGACTAGACTATAGACTAGACTATAGACTAGACTATAGACTAGACTATAGACTAGACTATAGACTAGACTATAGACTAGACTATAGACTAGACTATAGACTAGAATATAGACCAGACTATAGACTAGACTATAGACTAGACTATAGACTAGACTATAGACTAGACTATAGACTAGACTATAGACTAGACTATAGACTAGACTATAGACTAGACTATAGACTAGACTATAGACTAGACTATAGACTAGACTATAGACTAGACTATAGACTAGACTATAGACTAGACTATAGACTAGACTATAGACTAGACTATAGACTAGACTATAGACTAGACTATAGACTAGACTATAGACTAGACTATAGACTAGACTATAGACTAGACTATAGACTAGACTAGACTAGACTAAAGAGTAGACTATAGACTAGACTATACTAGACTAGACTAAAGAGTAGACTAAAGACTAGACTAAAGACTAGACTATAGACTAGACTAAAGACTAGACTATAGACCAAACTATAAACTGGACTAAACTATAGACTGAAGTATAGACAAGACGAAACTATAGTCTTTACTATTAACATAACTATGCTCTAGACTATAGACTTAAATACTTTAAAGACTATAGACTAGACTATAGACTAGACTATAGACTAGACTAGACTATAGACTATAACTAGACTATAGACTAGACTATAGACTAGACTATAGACTAGACTATAGACTAGACTATAGACTAGACTATAGACTAGACTATAGACTAGACTATAGACTAGACTGTAGACTAGACTAGACTATAGACTAGACTATAGACTAGACTATAGACTAGACTAGACTATAGACTAGACTATAGACTAGACTATAGACTAGACTATAGACTAGACTATAGACTAGACTATAGACTAGACTATAGACTAGACTATAGACTAGACTATAGACTAGACTATAGACTAGACTATAGACTAGACTATAGACTAGACTGTAGACTAGACTATAGACTAGACTATAGACTAGACTATAGACTAGACTATAGACTAGACTATAGACTAGACTATAGACTAGACTATAGACTAGACTATAGACTAGACTATAGACTAGACTATAGACTAGACTATAGACTAGACTATAGACTAGACTATAGACTAGACTTATAGACTAGACTAGACTAGACTATAGACTAGACTATAGACTAGACTATAGACTAGACTATAGACTAGACTATAGACTAGACTATAGACTAGACTATAGACTAGAATATAGACTAGACTATAGACTAGACTATAGACTAGACTATAGACTAGACTATAGACTAGACTATAGACTAGACTATAGACTAGACTATAGACTAGACTATAGACTAGACTATAGACTAGACTATAGACTAGACTATAGACTAGACTATAGACTAGACTATAGACTAGACTATAGACTAGACTATAGATTAGACTATAGACTAGACTATAGACTAGACTATAGATTAGACTATAGACTGGACTATAGACTAGACTATAGACCAAACTATAAACCTATAGACTTAAATACTTTGAAACAAGATATTGACTAGACTATATTTTAAACTACTTTTTTGCATCACATTTTTTAAATATTTCACACCATGTATTTTAAGTTCCTAATGCCTATAACAAATACCGAACTTTTTAACGATTTTATTTCGTTTATTTTAAATCTTGTTTTAAAACTAAAGTTAAATTTTCTTCTTCGACAAAACAATGCCTTACTAATTAGATGGTTTTTATTATTATTTTTTATTGTCTGTAGTTGTAAAATAAAACCTAATAATTACTTTATCCACTACACACACGTACAACCAATATACAAATAAATAAACTTAAAATAAATATTGGTTAATAAACCTTCAAATAAACAAACAACAACAAAACACAATACACTTGTCAGTCACTCATAAAATTCAAGAAGAAGAAGAAGAAAAAAGGAAATAACTTGAATTTTCCAGCAATAACAACAAACCAAGCTTAACCAAAAAAAAAAAAAAAAACACAAATTGCTGTAAAAATAAACCAGACTATAGTACGCACTTCGTCCATAATCTCTTTCTCTCTAAAGAATGAAAACAACTTAAGCAAAAGCTAGAGCTGATAGTGCTGCCAGATGAGGGCAAAAGAAGGCTTTTCAAAGTTTGGTTAGCCCCGATATGATCAATATTAGGCTATAGTTTAGAGTAGACTGTAGACTAGACAATAGACTATGCTACAGACTAGACCATAGGCAGACTATGGACTGTAGACTAGATTCTAGACTAGACTATGGACTAGACTCGTATTGCTTATAGACATATTATAGTCTTGGCTATAGACAGACTATAGTCTTGACTATAGATAGACTATAGTCTTGACTATCGATGGACTATATTCTTAACTATATACAGTCTTTAGTCAAGACTATATTCAAACTATAGTCTGGACTATATACAGACTATAGTCTTAACTATAGACGTGCTATAGCTTTGACTATGGTCTTGACTAAAGGCAGACTATAGTCTTGATTATAGGTTGACTATAGTCTTGATTATAGGCAGACTATATATAGTCTTGACTGTGGACCTACATATAGGCAGACAATAGTCTTGACTGTGGACCTACATATAGGCAGACAATAGTCTTGATTATAGGCAGACTATAGTCTTAATTATAGACAGACTATAGTCTTGACTATAACAAACTATAGTCTTGTGTGTTGACAGGTTATAGTCTTGACTATAGACTGACTATAGTCTTGACTATAGACTGACTATAGTCTTGGCTATAGACAGACTATATATAGTCTTGATTATAGGCAGACTATAGTCTTGACTACAGGCAGACTATAGTCTTGACTATAGGCAGAATATAGTCTTGACTATAGGCAGACTATAGTCTTGATTATAGGTAGACTATAGCCTTGATTATAGGCAGACTATAGTCTTGACTATAGACAGACTATAGTCTTGACTATAGACATACATATAGGCAGACTATAGTTTTGAATATAGGCTGACTATAGTCTGTCTATAGTCAAGACTATAGTCTGCTTACAGCCTATAGTCTATCTATAATCAAGACTATAGTCTGCCTATAATAGAGACTATAGTCCCTCTATAATCAAGACTATAGTCTGCCTATAGTCAAGACTATAGTTTGTCTATTGTCTCTCTATAGTCAAGACTATAGTCTCTCTATAGTCAGGACTATAGTCTGCCTATAGTCAAGACTGTAGTCTACCGATAGTCAAGACTATAGTCTGTCTATAGTCAAGACTATAGCCTGTCAACACACAAGATTATAGTTTGTTATAGTCAAGACTATAGTCTGTCTATTGTTAAGACTATGGTCTGCCTATACTATTGCCAGGACTATTGCCTTCCTATATGAATGTCTACAGTCTACAGTCTTGACTATAGACTGACTATAGTCTTGGCTATAGACAGACTATAGTCTTGACTATCGGTAGACTACAGTCTTGACTATAGGCAGAATATAGTCTTGACTATAGTCTGCCTATAATCAAGACTATAGTCTGTCTATAGTCAAGATTATAGTCTGTCTGTAGTCAAGACTATAGTCTGCCTATAGTCAAGACTGTAGTCTAACGATAGTCAAGACTATAGTCTGTCTATAGCCAAGACTATAGTCAGTCTATAGTCAAGACTGTAGACTGTAGACATTCATATAGGAAGACAATAGTCTTGGCAATAGTATAGGCAGACTATAGTCTTAATTATAGCCAGACCATAGTCATAACAATAGACAGACTATAGTCTTGACTATAACAAACTATAGTCTTGTGTGTTGACAGGCTATAGTCTTGACTATAGACAGACTATAGTCTTGACTATCGGTAGACTACAGTCTTGACTATAGGCAGACTATAGTCTTGACTATAGAGAGACTATAGACAGACTATAGTCTTGATTATAGAGGGACTATAGTCTCTATTATAGGCAGACTATAGTCTTGATTATAGATAGACTATAGTCATACTAAAGTCTTGACTATAGACGAGATAATGTTGACTGTAGACGAGCTATAGTCTTGAATGTAATCATGACTATAGCTAGACAATACTCATTACTTTTTATTTTAGTTGTGAAAAGATAATAGTCTAGACTACGTACATACTATAGTCTGGACTATGGAAAGACTATAGTCTTGACTACAGAATTTTTTACTCCATTGGCTATCGATATTTTTTTGCAAGATCTGGCAACCTTGACCAAGAGTTACAGGTGAGAGAAAATGTTTATACTTGTACTACTCACCTTTTCTTTTTAAAGTTTTTCGCTTAAAGAAGAAGCAGCAAAATTACACGCGGAAAATACAATATTAAGCAATCGGCAAAATAACTACTCCCTAGAGTAGAGTAGCTCAAGAAGTTTATTTAGTTTTGTTTATTTTCTTTAACAAAATCGTAATATTTATTAAACAATTTTCTTAAACAAAAATTGTTTACTCGTTGTTTTTGAAAAAACACTTAAGAAGAATGTCGCAATTTTTAACAAATACCAAATAGGATTTTTTTTTAGATTTTAATTAAATTTGTTTCTCTTTGGAAATTTTATTTAAAAAAATTTGGAAAACTTTTATTTTTATTATGATTCAAATGGTATTTTAAGCACTTTTTTCCCGAAATTTTGTAGTTTCTTTTGTAATATAATTTACTTTCGTTGTTTTTTTTTCTCTATATTTTCTATAATTAATAATTTATTATTTTCAAATTCCGTTTTGTTTGTTATTTTCGTTTAATATAAGTATTTCTTTTCACAAGTTTCTAAATTTAAAAGCCAGCCATCTGCTAAGCTGGCCAAGTTAAGACTAAATTGTCTACCGAAATGTTTTGTCTTGGTTAATATCAACTCACACAACATACGGAACAGAAGAAAACAAAAAAAAAAGCCAACAGAGACATAAAATATATCGAACGATTAGTTAGAGCTGATTGTGTTGTTTTCGTATAAAAAAAATTGGAAAAAGCTTCAAACAATACAACAACAAGATCTTCCGCTGTCAGAAGATAGGCAGACCGTCGGATCGTCAGCAGAGAAACATAGAAAAAATGAAAACGATATTCATACCAGACTTGAATTGAGTGCTTTTATTAGCCACAACAACAACAACTACTATTACTACTTGCGGTTGTTATTATAGTTTTTTAATTGTATTTGTTGCCATCTAGGGATGATCACTCAATATTGTTTTGAAAGAATTGAGTTAAACTTAAAAAAAAAACACTCTAGATTTTATGAGATGAAATAAGACCAAGTTAATAATTTCAATTCTAGTTTTAAAAATGTAAATTTTTGCATTATTTAATGAATTATATTGATAAAATTTTGTTTATTTTTAAAAAGATTGATCGAAATTTAAAAATTTCTTATTTATTTGCTGATTTATTAAACACTCTCTTTTAAATCTGGCAACTTTTTTGCATTGGCAACACTTACTTCAGTGGTGTTTACATTTTGAAAGAGAGTTGCCAGAGAATATTTTTCGATCTATCTATCTATCTATCTATCTATCTATCTATCTATCTATCTATCTTATCTATCTATCTATCTATCTATCTATCTATCTATCTATCTATCTATCTATCTATCTATCTATCTATCTATCTATCTATCTATCTATCTATCTATCTATCTATCTATCTAGCTCTATCTATCTATCTATCTATCTATCTATCTATCTATCTATCTATCTATCTATCTATCTATCTATCTATCTATCTATCTATCTATCTATCTATCTATCTATCTATCTATCTATCTATCTATCTATCTATCTATCTATCTATCTATCTATCTATATCTATCTATCTATCTATCTATCTATCTATCTATCTATCTATCTATCTATCTATCTATCTATCTATCTATCTATCTATCGATCTATCTATCTATCTATCTATCTATCTATCTATCTATCTATCTATCTATCTATCTATCTATCTATCTATCTATCTATCTATCTATCTATCTATCTTCTATCTATCTATCTATCTATCTATCTATCTATCTATCTATCTATCTATCTATCTATCTATCTATCTATCTACTATCTATCTATCTATCTATCTATCTATCTATCTATCTATCTATCTATCTATCTATCTATCTTATCTATCTATCTATCTATCTATCTATCTATCTATCTATCTATCTATCTATCTATCTATCTATCTATCTATCTATCTATCTATCTATCTATCTATCTATCTATCTATCTATCTATCTATCTATCTATCTATCTATCTATCTATATATCTATCTATCCTATCTATCTATCTATCTATCTATCTATCTATCTATCTATCTATCTATCTATCTATCTATCTATCTATCTATCTATCTATCTATCTATCTATCTATCTATCTATCTATCTATCTATCTATCTATCTATCTATCTATCTATCTATCTATCTATCTATCTATCTATCTATCTATCTATCTATCTATCTATCTATCTATCTATCTATCTATCTATCTATCTATCTATCTATCTATCTATCTATCTATCTATCTATCTATCTATCTATCTATCTATCTATCTATCTATCTATCTATCTATCTATCTATCTATCTATCTATCTATCTATCTATCTATCTATCTATCTATCTATCTATCTATCTATCTATCTATCTATCTATCTATATATCTATCTATCTATCTATCTATCTATCTATCTATCTATCTATCTATCTATCTATCTATCTATCTATCTATCTATCTATCTATCTATCTATCTATCTATCTATCTATCTATCTATCTATCTATCTATCTATCTATCTATCTATCTATCTATCTATCTATCTATCTATCTATCTATCTATCTATCTATCTATCTATCTATCTATCTATCTATCTATCTATCTATCTATCTATCTATCTATCTATCTATCTATCTATCTATCTATCTATCTATCTATCTATCTATCTATCTATCTATCTATCTATCTATCTATCTATCTATCTATCTATCTATCTATCTATCTATATCTATCTATCTATCTATCTATCTATCTATCTATCTATCTCTATCTATCTATCTATCTATCTATCTATCTATCTATCTCTCTATCTATCTATCTATCTATCTATCTATCTATCTATCTATCTATCTCTATCTATCTATCTATCTATCTATCTATCTATCTATCTATCTATCTATCTATC